TGGATTCTGAACACTGATGGGGGTCAAAGCCAGGCGAGCAGATGTCAGTCATTGATGGTGTCCGCACGTCCCACTCCCCGGGTCCCTCGTGCTCGGTGCCCAAGACCTCCCGGCCCCTCCACTCTGCCTGGGGCCCCCCCACAACCCGGCTCACCCCTGGGGCCCCCCCTGGCCCCAGTTTTGTCCCCTCCCTGTGGAGCACCCCAGAACCCTGGCCTCCCATCTGCCCGGGAGGGCACACGGGGGACGCGTGCTGCACTGCACCCCTGGGCAGGGTTTTGCACGCAGTGTCCCAACTTCCCCGTGTCCCTTGTACTGGTCATCCTGCTCCTGTGTTCCCTCCTTCCCTGCGTCCCCCAGACTGGTCATCCTGCTCCTGATCTCTCTCATTCTGGTGTCCATCGTGCCAGTCATCCTGCTCCTGCTGTCCGTCCTTCCTGGTGTCCCTCCTACTGGCTGCCCCAGGGGAGTCCTGGGGCGAGTGTCCTGTGGGGTTGGGGGGTTAGGGAGGTTTCGGGGTTAGCTTTCTTAGGTCTTGTGGGGTTTTTGGAGGATGCACATTCCAAATTGCGATCACCCACAGGTCTTTGTCTCAGCTGCAGATAGACTGTTCCCCAAGGTCCAGCCACTCAAAGAGAAGATGGAGAATCCCCCTCCTTGGCCTACAGACCACCATCTCAGCTACAAGGGACCTGCTCAACCCAACGGTGACTGTGGGTGCCCCTCCCGTGCCACCTGGTAGGTATCTGTCCGCATGACCATAGGGAGGACACGAGGAAGTGGGACGGTGCAGGTACCTCGGTGCTGGAAGGCCATGTACAAGAATTGTGGGGAAAACCAGTGGCCAAAAAGGGACCACCCAAGAAGATGGACAGTCTGGATGCTGTCCAGCCATTCCCCACGCCCTGCAGCTGGGCTGAGGACACATGTCCTCCTCCTGATCCTGATCCAGACTGATCCAGGCTGTTTAGACCCCCATATGTCCACGTGGGGTCAAACCTCACACCCAGCACCGTAGAAAGGCTGTGCCAGACCACAGTAGGCTGGTACCTGTGACTTGTCCCTGTGATGTGGGCTGGGCAAGAGGGACGTGGGCTCCTCTGAGGGTGAAAAAGCTTCTAGTTTGCAATGACAGGAGTCAGTAATGAATGCTCTGATCAGGTCTATAACCCCCATATTCAAAACGGGGAAAAAGGAAGACCCGGGGAACTACAGGCCGGTCTCACCTCTGTGCCCAGCAAGATCATGGAGCAGATCTTCCTGGAATCTCTGCCAAGGCACAGGGAAAAACAGGAGGTGATTGGTGACAGCCAACAGGGCTTCACCAACGGCAAGTCATGCCTGCCAAATTTGGTGGCCGCCTACGATATTGCCACAGCCTTGTAGACAAAGGCAGAGCAACAGACATCATCTACCTGGACTTATGCAAAGTGCTTTTCACTGTCCCACATGGCATCCTGGTCTCTAAACTGGAGACACACGGATTTGATGGGTGGACCACTCGGTGGATCAGGAACTGGCTGGGTGGCCGCACTCAAAGGGTTGTGGTCAACGGCTCAATGTCCAAGTGGAAGCCAGTAATGAGTGGTGGTACAATCACAGAATATTAAGGGACCTCTGGAGATCATCTAGTCCAACCCCCCCCCCCAAAGCAGGTCCATCTAGAGCAGGTTGCACAGGAACAATCCAGATGGG